CAACGCGTTACAATAAACGAATTCCTTATTTGCAAGAAAAGTCACCACTCTCGGTTAAAGAAATTTTATTCCCGGATAATTTCAATTGTTCGTAACTTACTATTAATTCAGTACTATCCCGTGTAGTCGAAGGAAGGATTGAAAAACCGGACCGATTAAATGAACTATTTCCACCAGAATTGTTACTGCTCCGTCGCTGCTTCAAGACTGTTTAATTTTGATTTTTCTGACATTTTTATATGAATTTTTGGGGTCACTTGTCACATGGGCTCCAACAAGTCCATTTTTAATTGGTGGAAAATGTCGTATGACTTTTCCCACTTTTTTGATTTTCATTGCGCAAGTAGTTCATTCGGTTTTTGGGGTCTTCATTAATCGGTTTGCAATCGTTCCTTTGCGCACGAATCTTAGTATTGGGTAATTGGGGCGTGCTGAGTGCGCCATTTCATCACTTTTGAACTCGATTCCAATGGCTTTGGAATTTTTAATCGAGTTCAAGTGCTGAAATGTACTCAATTTGACTTACAATTGTGGGTTTGGTTCTTAATTACATGTAGCTTATAGTTATGATCCTATATAAAATTTATTCTAGTCTTAAATTTCTAGTATAAAATTTTTTGGACATTACAATATAAAAAAAGGTTGTGGTCTCCGAAAATTGTGATTTTCCAATCATTTCATTAGTGTATTGCAGAAAATCGACTTCATTTTTTCCTAGCAATTATACTGTTGAAAAAAATTGAAATTCATGGATAGCTCAATGGTAATTTTTAGGAGTAAGACATTTAATGTAGTTTGAGCGAGGAAAGTCATAAAATTTGAAAATTCAATGAAAATTTAACGGAATTCAACATTTCTTAACAGTATGAAAATAAAAAATTGCTTAAATTTTCATTTAAAACGTGAATATTCTGCACCTAATTACTTACTTTGTATTTTCGATTGATAAACCAATTATAATTGTTCTAATCATTTAGGTCGGGGGCAATAGAATGATTCAACTTTCTTAATGTTGCGTTTACTAAGGTTTTTTCCAAACAAAGTTGATTAGAATCAATACACGTACGTAAATCGCGGTGGCCGCCCGTGGTCCGGCCTCGGAATGGACTCGGAACGGACACGACGGGTTGGTGGCGAAATGAGAAGTTTGTGTCCATTTTTCGTGGCCATGAACCCCGAAAACTACAAGTCCCCCGTGACTTAAAAAGGGTTCCTATATCGTTAATTAGGGGGTTTGAGGGAAGGGGGTTGGAGGGTTAGGGGGTTGTTATATCCTTAATTTGAATAAACATTGTCTGAGCCTCAGTCTCGAACCTTGAATCTCTCCCATGTAAATAAAAATAAATTTGAATTAAAAAAAAAATGAAATTCAAATATATATATATATATATATATATATATATATATATATATATATATATATATATATATATATATATATATATATATATATATATANAAAAACCCCCTAACCCCCTAACCCTCCAACCCCCAACCCTCAAACCCCCTAATTAACGATATAGGAACCCTTTTTAAGTCACGGGGGACTTGTACCTTTCGGGGTTCATGGCCACGAAAAATGGACACAAACTTCTCATTTCGCCACCAATCGGTCGTGTCCGTTCCGTGTCTATTCCGAGTCCATTTCGAGGCCGGACCACGGGCGGCCACCGCGATTTACGTACGTGATAACTAGAATTATGAGTTTATATATGACATTTTTTACATGAAGTGCAGAAAAATCTGAATGCACTACAGTAAAAATGATGATAGATTTTTTCACGTTGAACAAAGAATAATAATAATATAGNGGTAGTCATATGGAGGTCATATGAAGGTCATGTGGAAGTCATACGAATCTTATGTGGAGGTCATATGAAGGTCATATAAAGGTCATATGGAAGTCATATACAGGTCACAGAGAGGTCATGTGGGATTCATATAGCGGCCATACAGAAATCATCTGAAGGTTATATGGGGATAACGGGGGGTGGGGGGGTCATTTATAAATCANCAGAAGTCAAATTGTCATTTTACGTTTTAATTCCCAATTTGGTGCTGAAAACCTCATGGTGATACTATTCTAAATACGGAATTATGTTGATGATATGAACAATACATTAATTGAATTACAGAGTGAACTGATTGAAAATTTGTATCACGGTGTTGGCATGCACTTTTACCAGAGTATCACCAAACATTGATTTTCGGCAATTTACTCTTCGAATTATGTTCGAGTAGAAATTGGATTGTAATTATANCAGAGAGGTCATGTGGGATTCATATAGCGGCCATACAGAAATCATCTGAAGGTTATATGGGGATAACGGGGGGTGGGGGGGTCATTTATAAATCATGTGGGGATCATATTGAAGTCATATGAGGGTTATATGGAGGTCATGGGGATCATATGAAAGTGTTACACCTCCATCTCCCCTAAGTAACAATTTTCTTCAAAAATGACTTGAAACACTTTCATATGATCCCCATGACTTCCATATAACCCTCATATGACNAATTGAAATCTTATTCAGTGAGCAGAGGAATTAGCATATGTGCAGGTTATTCATTGCAATATAAATATTTCATAGTTAATAAATTGAGGCACATCAATTTCATCAGTCGTA